AGCTGTAATCAAAGATAGAATTGTTAGGCACATAGAGGGACAAAGCTTGCTGAGGGAAAATCAGCCTGGCTTCTGCAAAGGGAAATCTTGCCTCACCAACCTTTTGGAGTTCTTTGAGAAAGTAAACAAGCATGTAGATAACAGTGACCTGGCAGACAGTATATACTTTTCGAAAGGCTTTTGACAAGGTACCTCACCAAACATTCCTGAGTAAACTTAGCTGTCACGGGATAAGAGAACAGGTTCTCTTATGGATTGAAAACTGATTAAATGACAGGAAGAAAAAGAGTAGGAATCAATGGACAGTTCTCACAGTGCAGGGAATTAAGCAGTGGGGTTCCACAAGGATCAATATTGAGACTGTACTATTTAATTTAATTTTTTCCCCCATTCTATCCTTTTTTTCCCCTTCCCCCCCCCCAATTTTTAACAATTCTAACACTTCAAACAGTGAACAATTAATCTTCCAATTACATTCACATCCTGTAAATAGTTCCTGAGTATGTACAACGTTATAACATGTTCAAAGAATTACAATACATTACTCATCACACTTCCGAATATGTTTTCAGTAGAAAGATAACAGACTTGGCGTAAACTTAATAGAAACATTAGGAAGCAATCTGAACTATTGGAGCGGTAAGAAAGAGAAGAAAGAAAAGGATACTTCTATTATCAACTTATAATAACAATTACTACATTTAATTTATTCACAAGTGATCTGGAACTGGGAAGTGGGTAGTGTAGTGGCCAGGTTTGCAGATAACACCAAATTATTCAGGATGGTGAAAACCAAGGCTGACTTTGAAGACCTCCACAAACTGTGTGAGTGGGTGACAATGTGGCAAATGAAGTTCAGTGTTGGTAAGTGTAAAGTGATGTACATTGGGAGGAAAAGTGATGTACATTGGGAGGAAAAGTATAGGCTAATGGGGTCTGAACTTGCTGAGACTGAAAGGGGAAAAGATCTCAGGGTTGTAGTGGATAGCTCAATGAAAGTATCAACCCAGTGTGTTGCAGCAATGAAAAAGGCAAACGCTACGTTAGGTATTATTAGGAAAGGGATTCAGACTTAAGCAGCCAATACTGTACTGCCCCGTATAGCTCTATGGTGTAGCCTCATTTGAAATACTGTGTACAGGTTTGGTCCCTGTATCTCAAAAAGGACACTGAAGAGCTGGAAAAAGTGCAGAGTAGGGCAACCAAGATGATTTGGGGGTTGGAGCACCTTCCCTTTGAGAAAAGGCTGAAGAGTCTGGGACTTCTCAGTTCAGAAAAGAGATGACTAAGGAGGGACATGATAGCAGTTTATAAAATTATGCATGGGGTGGAGAGAGTTGACAAAGAGAAATTTTTCTCCCTCTCTCAAAATACTAGAGCTCGAGGACACCCGGTGGAACTGATGGGCAGTAAATTCAGGACGGGCAAAAGGAAATACTACTTCATTCAGAGAGCAATTAAAATGTGGAATTTGCTGCCAGAGAATGTAGTGATGGCCATAGGAATAAGCAGCTTGAAAGGGGGATCAGATAGATTCATGAAGGATATGTCTATCAATGGCTACTAGCCATGGGGACTGAAGAGAACCTCCACATTCAGAGGCATTAAACCTCAGAATCCCAGAGCCAGGAGGCAACATCAAGGGAAGGACTGGGCCTCTATGCCCTGTTGTTTGCTGTCCAGAGGAACTGGTTGGCCACTGTGTGAGGCAGGATGCTGGACTAGATGGACCATTGGTCTGATCCAGCAGAGCTCTTCTTATGTTCTAAACCATAGAGTTTCCAGCAATTTCTAAAGCCACTGCTGTTTCTTCTGGGTTTTCCTTCACAGTGACATCATCACGCTCACAACAATGGTGACTTTTTAAAAAATAGTCCCCTGCCGCCACTTGGAGCAGTGGTCGGCAATGGGAGCTCAGGGCAGGAGATCCCCCATTCCAACCAGGGTTGTGGAGGGCCTATACATAGCTTTAAAAAATACAAGACAGTATTCCATATATTATGAGTTCTTTACCATTTTAATAATAGCTAAAACCAGAGATTTTTCAACACAGATTTATATACTGATCCAAATGTAATCAAAGCCCTAGTACTAGTCTATCCATGTGAGGTTCTCTCATACACTATCAGTTTTGCAAAGTAGCAACTCCACTGAGATGTAAATTCTCCTTTGCAATGGGAATATCCTCTGCAAAAGGCAGTAATATTACAATGGGAGGAGGATTCCGAAAGAAGAATGGAAAATTCCTGAAAGATGATTCCGTTTGGCTTTTTTAAGCACTGGGGGTACAGGGACCCTTAAAGATAACAGTGACCTGGCAGACAGTATATACTTTTCGAAAGGCTTTTGACAAGGTACCTCACCAAACATTCCTGAGTAAACTTAGCTGTCACGGGATAAGAGAACAGGTTCTCTTATGGATTGAAAACTGATTAAATGACAGGAAGAAAAAGAGTAGGAATCAATGGACAGTTCTCACAGTGCAGGGAATTAAGCAGTGGGGTTCCACAAGGATCAATATTGAGACTGTACTATTTAATTTAATTTTTTCCCCCATTCTATCCTTTTTTTCCCCTTCCCCCCCCCCAATTTTTAACAATTCTAACACTTCAAACAGTGAACAATTAATCTTCCAATTACATTCACATCCTGTAAATAGTTCCTGAGTATGTACAACGTTATAACATGTTCAAAGAATTACAATACATTACTCATCACACTTCCGAATATGTTTTCAGTAGAAAGATAACAGACTTGGCGTAAACTTAATAGAAACATTAGGAAGCAATCTGAACTATTGGAGCGGTAAGAAAGAGAAGAAAGAAAAGGATACTTCTATTATCAACTTATAATAACAATTACTACATTTAATTTATTCACAAGTGATCTGGAACTGGGAAGTGGGTAGTGTAGTGGCCAGGTTTGCAGATAACACCAAATTATTCAGGATGGTGAAAACCAAGGCTGACTGTGAAGACCTCCACAAACTGTGTGAGTGGGTGACAATGTGGCAAATGAAGTTCAGTGTTGGTAAGTGTAAAGTGATGTACATTGGGAGGAAAAGTGATGTACATTGGGAGGAAAAGTATAGGCTAATGGGGTCTGAACTTGCTGAGACTGAAAGGGGAAAAGATCTCAGGGTTGTAGTGGATAGCTCAATGAAAGTATCAACCCAGTGTGTTGCAGCAATGAAAAAGGCAAACGCTACGTTAGGTATTATTAGGAAAGGGATTCAGACTTAAGCAGCCAATACTGTACTGCCCCGTATAGCTCTATGGTGTAGCCTCATTTGAAATACTGTGTACAGGTTTGGTCCCTGTATCTCAAAAAGGACACTGAAGAGCTGGAAAAAGTGCAGAGTAGGGCAACCAAGATGATTTGGGGGTTGGAGCACCTTCCCTTTGAGAAAAGGCTGAAGAGTCTGGGACTTCTCAGTTCAGAAAAGAGATGACTAAGGAGGGACATGATAGCAGTTTATAAAATTATGCATGGGGTGGAGAGAGTTGACAAAGAGAAATTTTTCTCCCTCTCTCAAAATACTAGAGCTCGAGGACACCCGGTGGAACTGATGGGCAGTAAATTCAGGACGGGCAAAAGGAAATACTACTTCATTCAGAGAGCAATTAAAATGTGGAATTTGCTGCCAGAGAATGTAGTGATGGCCATAGGAATAAGCAGCTTGAAAGGGGGATCAGATAGATTCATGAAGGATATGTCTATCAATGGCTACTAGCCATGGGGACTGAAGAGAACCTCCACATTCAGAGGCATTAAACCTCAGAATCCCAGAGCCAGGAGGCAACATCAAGGGAAGGACTGGGCCTCTATGCCCTGTTGTTTGCTGTCCAGAGGAACTGGTTGGCCACTGTGTGAGGCAGGATGCTGGACTAGATGGACCATTGGTCTGATCCAGCAGAGCTCTTCTTATGTTCTAAACCATAGAGTTTCCAGCAATTTCTAAAGCCACTGCTGTTTCTTCTGGGTTTTCCTTCACAGTGACATCATCACGCTCACAACAATGGTGACTTTTTAAAAAATAGTCCCCTGCCGCCACTTGGAGCAGTGGTCGGCAATGGGAGCTCAGGGCAGGAGATCCCCCATTCCAACCAGGGTTGTGGAGGGCCTATACATAGCTTTAAAAAATACAAGACAGTATTCCATATATTATGAGTTCTTTACCATTTTAATAATAGCTAAAACCAGAGATTTTTCAACACAGATTTATATACTGATCCAAATGTAATCAAAGCCCTAGTACTAGTCTATCCATGTGAGGTTCTCTCATACACTATCAGTTTTGCAAAGTAGCAACTCCACTGAGATGTAAATTCTCCTTTGCAATGGGAATATCCTCTGCAAAAGGCAGTAATATTACAATGGGAGGAGGATTCCGAAAGAAGAATGGAAAATTCCTGAAAGATGATTCCGTTTGGCTTTTTTAAGCACTGGGGGTACAGGGACCCTTAACCACAGGAAAACAACATCTCTCAAAGAACTGAGATATGAATTATGGTACAGCTCTACTCTCATCAGCAAAGGCTGATGGGTAGAGTAAGGACTGACAACACCTCATAGGGGAAAAATATTTACTGGAGCACAAAGGATTTCTATTTCTGGCACAGGTAATTTTCTGCTTTCATGAAACCTTGGGAAATATTAAACAAACACCCTTGTAAAAATACCATGAGCCCAAAAAGGGGGTAGGGAGGGGGGGAAGATTTCATGCAACATTGACCATTGTTTCAGAAAAGTTTCTGGGTCCTGCTTCCACCTCAGTTTTATTTTTAGTTGGAAAAACTTCATTAAACCTGCCAAAGCTGCCAATCATATAAATCACAGCAGAAGGTGGCTGTATAATGCTTATAATTTCTACAGTACATTGAGAACCTATCCTACATACAGGAAGAGCCTACACAAGTTATTCATTGTGTGTTTCTATAATCTTTTTAATGCTTCCCATCATGTCCCTTACAGTGTCATGGGGTGCTGTCGGTTCCACATCAACCACACTTATTCATGCACTCGAGCAACTCCATCCTGATGGCAATGCGAACGTGCCAACCAAGTGGTATCAATCGAATGTAGCGAGAGACAATTGGGGGGCGCAGAAGGTTCTGCACAGAGGACGATCTGTCTGAGTTCCCATAGAAAACCTAAAGAAAGCCAAATTGGAGGGGGGAGAGAGAGAATTAGCTTATAGAAGACTGAGAAAAGATCAAGGTCTTCACCTTCCTTTAATTTTACATTCAGTAACTTGGAAACAAATAGACTGATTGAAATTACTTTGTGTGCCTAATTTGCCAAGCAAAGCTGCTGATGGTCTCAGTCACTAGAAACAAATTGCTTCCAATTACATGGTACATGTTACTAAATTCTGCCAAGGGAGGTAAACCCACCTTTCCACAACTAAATTATGTTAATACAATAGCAAGCTTGTAGGGGTGAGTAATTTCACCTCCAAATGCCCTATTTCTAGTTAACCATAGAAAGTACCCAATAACATAAGTGAACAGTAAAGGCCATAAAGTTATAAGTTTTAAAATGGTGTAAAATATTTAACTCAAAAGATTTTCAGGTTATTCTTCCTGTTAATTGTCATCATTCAGATGGCACAGGAAACTGCTCCAGTATAACAGATTCACTACAAACACAACGTTTTGAAATGATATATGGAGACAGAGGACTGTATGCCGTACATACAAACTAGGTGTTATGGCAGCCACAGTTCTGAACCATGGCAGCCAACAGCATTTTAGAGAACAAACTGGCATTAAAATAGCCAACAGCATTTTAGAGAACAAACTGGCATTAAAATAGCCAAATTCTTCTCTAAAATGGCACCAGCACTCATGGATCCAATCTGTGGCTGCCATAACATCTAATTTGGGCCTCTAACACTGCCTTATAATGGATACAACCATTTGATACCCCATATAGTAGGGGGTTGCCAGTGCCTCAGGTTGAGGCCTTTTGCAGTTCTGCTGGTAGAAATCTCTTCAACTAGGGATGCTAGAGATTGTGTCTGTGATCTTCTATACACAAATCACGTTTTACCATTCCCCCTTCAATGAGAGTCTAGCAGCAGAACAAACAAGAAGGTATCATTAGGTCAGCCCTCCAACGGTTTTCTGAAGTCCATAAACACAATCTAAATGGTATGTCTCAGGGGTTTTACTACAAATCTATGGATTGGTTCCTTGGTTTACAATCAGCACATGCATTGGCTGCATTGTCTACATATACAGAAGATGGTTCATGTATTTTCCTTGCTGGATCAAGGTACAAGTGCTTTACATAGTGGTATGGAGTTTGCATCAAATTTGATTACCAGTATTGTAGCTGGGTCAATAGGTTGGATCCAGACTAAGATTCCCAGTGGCAGAATGGAACTTTCCTGCCCCTCACCCCACGCCCACTGATCTTGATGAAATGCTGCTCCCGGAGGATACAGGACCTTGATGAATGATATGATGGATGTCTGCAGTGGGAAGGAGGAATCAGTAAAAACTGCTTATTTAGTTAGGATCCAACCCATTGAATACTTGGATTTTATCTGAAAAATGTCACTTGTCTTGACACTGAGTTCACTCTATTTGAGAATGGCTGCCAAATTAGTGTAATCATCACAAAATATATCTCATACTGACCCGGTTGTTTCCTGTCTGGTCCTTGTAATACACCCAGTTCAGATTCTCATCAGTCCTGTACTGAACACTGTATTTTGTCATCCATTCATCTGCATCACACCTTCCTTGTGTGAGTATCCCTGAAATAACTTTGATTTCCTTCAGGTCAATTTGCAGCCACTGGTTAGAGTCTTGAAATTTTGAGAGCCAGGCACACCTGTAACAGGTTCAGGAGAAAAATGCAGTGGATCAGGTGAATGTTGATGAAGAACAGAAATTTCCACCTCTTCACAATTCTCTATCATATCTGCCAGAGTCCAAGTTATACCTACTGTGCAACGAACTATAGATATCATGTTGTTGTCCTCTATCTATACGTCATGCTCTTAAAACTTCAGAATTCTGCTACACTCCTCATAACACCAAAAAAGAGAACCCAGGGTGGGAATAGGAAGATAATAACTGGGGCTATGCAAAAGAAGCCAACTATAGAATACTACATGCCAGCCCGTTGTGGGCAATTTGGCAGTGGCACAACTACTCAGACATTTTGTTTGTTGGAACTTCACACCTTGACTCAATATTTTGCAGTACTTGATATAAAAAATAAGAAGAGTGAAGATAGGATATCTCTCAACTTACCCAAAGCCTTGTCCATTAAGCCGGGCTTTGTTAGCAGTCCATGACGTATACCATCCTGTGTACTGTTCTGGATTGGCACAGCTTATCTGATCTGAAGTAACAGATCCAGACTCAAAACCAAGTGGCTTGTGATAGGGACATTCTGTAACAGAAATACATGCCACTTATCAGAAGACTGACTGAGCCCCAAAAAACTCATCACTGTCTCCTAAAAGTCGTCTAAACAGCCATTACAAAAGATAGAACAGAAAAAAAGCAGACTTCCTTTTACTAACAGGAGGAAGCATTCATGGAATTAAGTTTGTTTTCTCTTGGAGTTGTTGTAGGTTTTGCCGTTTTGGTAAAGTTTAATCGTTTATAAAGGGGAAGGGAACTTGGAAAGAGGGTGTTGTGTATAGAGGGTTAAAATTTAATAATGTTTATTTTCATATATGCTGGAAACCCAAACCAAAGAGTTGAATCCAAAGGTCACTTTCTGCCACTGGAAAGGGGGCAATTCTTGAGGATTCCTTCACTTGCACTGCAGGCCACTGGGTTCTGTGAAATGCAACTCCAGGAGGACAGGGAACCCTCAAGGAAACATGGCGGCAGATATCTGCAGTGGAGCAGAAATGAGCCAAAATATCCCCTCCTTTCACTTGAGGACAACAACCTTTGCATTCAACCCAGAATGTTCTAGACTGATATATTTGTTATTATTTCTATCCTAGTTTGTTTGCTGAGCTCCTTTAAAATATGGAGGGACTTTATCTGAGTTATATGTGCATACATATTTGAAAACAATAAACCCATTACATGATATTGCTCTGTCTAAATTATGAGCACATGTAATACAAGAATTTAGTTATCATTCATCACTACTCCTTCCCCAAAGCATTTTTGTTTTGGATTTCATACCTAGTACTCTGTTTTACTTCCTTTTGTCCCTTTGATTCTATCTAAAGCTTCAGTGATGTAACCAATATAAACTATTCCAAAAAAGGAACAACATTATCAATGACCTTATACCTTGAACAAAACTTTGTTGGTCTTAAAGGTGCCACTGGACTCAAACTTTATTTCAATGTTATCAATGATGTATCTTAAGAGTGAAAACAACAAAGACTTTTGTGGCACCTTAAAGATCACAAGACTTATTTTGGCATTGGTTTTCATGGACTAGAGTCACTTCATCAGATGTATGTTGGCAGATACAGACAGGTAAAGAGGAAAAAATGTAAACAGTGGAGCCAAATGCCCAAACAGTGCAAGAAGTACTAAACTACACACACTGTGTTTCTGTGCAAAGCTCCTGTGTATTCAAGGTAAGTAGTGACCATTACCAGCAGCAGTAACTGGCAAGACTTTTGCTATACCAACACATATAGTGGGAGACCAAAAAAACAACAACTGATCCTTAAATACTGTAGACCCTTGCAACTTGTGGGAATCCACTCTTGCGATCAACATGAATGGAGACATCTGCAAACAGTGGGAAGCAGGATTCTGCTACAAGCAAACCAGTTTTCTTGCAAAATGTAATGATGTAATGATTACAGTGATGGTAAAAACAGGCTGGAGACCATGTCACATGGGAATACGAGAGGCTGCAGTTATGTACCTTGCCACTTCCACTTAGACATTATGCAACTGCTGAGTTTTCTTTGATCATAGAGGTACATTTTGGATGATGGAGGCTGCTTCCATATAGTGAGGGTTCTCCACTGTGCATCCATCATCACTGTGAATGCAGCAGCACGTGCTGCAGTTTGGAAGCCAAGGGGGGGGGGAAACCTGCATGAAGAAGCAGGCGGAGGTTCCATCATGGAAACCGCAGTGATCACATGCATAAAAGTGTTACAACAATGTAAACTGAGCAGCGCCACTTTGTGGCAGGCTCAGATATGTACAAGAAATTTTATTTTTAGTAACATTAATCACTGTAACAGAAGCATAATGTACTTAAGAGGCCACCTGTTTTAGAGAAGTGTTATAGACAAGGGATTACTAAACATATGTCTGGAGACTGCCAGGTCAAGTCAGTTAAATTATTTAATGCGGTTACCACTGACCTTAAGAAACTACATATGTGCTAGGCAAGTTCTGTATGCCTTTCCTCTCTAGGAAACCTTGTACAACCCATACAACGTTTCTCCCAGCATCTGAGGTGAAGATCCTACTTGGCTACCGCTACTGCTCATTTTTGTCTATACTGTAAGATGAAGGAAATTGCAACCATGGGCATTAAAAAAATAATTCCTACTCTGTTTAAATTAAGACGTTCAAATAATGCAATTAGCTTTAACATCAGGGGGCTATCTGTAAAGTTTTCCTCCTTCATGTCCATTCCAAGTGAATTCTGAAACTGAAGATGCATGCCTAGCACATCTGGGAAAATAAAATGGTCATGAAACTTCTTTCTCCTTTAATAGTTTTCTACTGTTACCACCATCTCTATTAATTTCATTCCAACTAATTAATGACATTATAAAAACCTGTATCAATCCATCCCACTCTTCTTATTTGATGCCTTTCTGAGTCAAGCGATATCTGCTTCCTAAACTACAAAAAGCTACATTACTAAGAAGGATGCCAAGCCGTAATGTGAGCATCGCTAGGAATATCACACTCAATAGCCTTCATGCTCAATTCAGAGTGATGGTGAGAATTCGAAAGACCTGAAATGGTCTCGGCCAAGAAGCTATGCTCCATCACAACCTTTAAGAGCAAGCAAGAATGTTCTTATGAGTACACCGTGGCAGGCCCCACGGACACAAGAGTAGTGCCTTTGATGGCTGCCTCTTCACTTCATCTGTGCCTAAACTCAACCCGGTTCCAAGTGATCAGCACTAAGGAGGATATAATAATTTGGGATTAGGGTTTGTAAAGTAAGCGATCAACTATGGGTTAGATCCTACCATATATGAACATTCCCAGCTTCCTTCTACTTTGGTAGCATCACCCCCAGAAATGCTGCCCCCAGGGTTCAAAAGACTTCCTGTAGTAGTGATGGGGTCTGCAGTTGGAGGGGGAATCAGCAATCCCTGACCTCCACCTGCGGAAATGTCATTGTGCAAGCAGAAAGAGACCACAGGATCCAACGCTATAAGCAAAGGCCAAACAAATAACACGGCGTACCTGGCATGCACTGCAGACTGTTTGTTCCAGTGGACCATACTGAGTTGGGACTTCCCTGGCAATCACACTTGCAGGCTTTACTGTGCCAGTGTTCCAGTCTGTCATCCTAACAGCATACAGAAGACACCATCACTCTGGCATTCAACAAACTGATAGACTCCTGTTTTTATTGGTCCCTACTCATTGTGTAGGGCTCCAAGGTAAACAGATACAAAACACCATTTACAGAGCAGCGCTTGGCACAGACGCAAATCACAGTTCAAACTGCATCATCATTGTCCACATTATTGATGTGGAGGATACTGGAAGCAAGCCCAAGAATAGTCTTCATGCTTAAGTCCTAATAAAGGCATGGAAGAGGGCAATCCAGACTTCTTGATCAGTTTTAGCTAAAAGCAGCAAAAAGAGTTGTGGCTGGATTCAATCCCAGCTCATGCTGGAATTAATAATACTCTAGTAGAGTAGTTGAGTGTTTAATAGGACCCAGCAATTAGGGTTGCCAACTCTGAGTTGGGAAATTCCTGGAGATTGGATGGTGGAGACTGGGGAGGGAGTAGGGATGCCAGCCTCTCCCAGAATTAATGCTCATCTCCAGACTGCAGAGATCAGTGCCCCCGGAGAAAATGGCTGCTTTAGAGGGTGGGCACTATGGCACTGTACCCCATGTAGGTGCCCGTCCTCCTCAGGCTCCATCCCCAAAGATCCAGGAGTTTCCCAACCTGGAGCTGGCAACCCTACCCCCCCCCCCGTCCCCTCCTGGGGGCCAGGAGGAACCTGGCAACTCTAGGAGGGCGGGGTTTAGGGAGAGGAGGGACCTCAGCAGAGCATAAAGCTGTGGGGTCCACCTTCCAAAGCTGCCATATTCTCCAGGGGAAGTGATCTCTGTAGTCCTGAGATCAGTTGTAATTCCTGTAGATCTCCAAGCCCTACCTGGAGGTTAGCAAGTCTAATAATGGAGTATATTTCCTGATTTCCTGCTGTTTCATCAACTTCAAATATCCATGGCAGACAGCCAGTGTGGTGTAGTGGTTAAGAGCGGCAGACTCTAATCTGGACAACTGGGTTTGATTCCCCAGTCCTCCACCTGAAGCCTGCTGGGCGACCCTGGGCCATTCACAGTTCTCTCAGAACTCTCTCAGCCCCACCTACCTCACAAAGTGCCTGTTATGGGGAGAGAGAGGGAAGGCGATTGTAAGCCTCTTTGTGACTCATTAGGGGAGAAGAAAGTGGGGTATAAAAACCAACTATTCTTCTTCTACTTCAGACTACAGCCATTATGCACTTTTTTACCATCTCGACCCACCCCAGGGCTTGTATTTGCCACACAAATATGAGGCAAATATGAGGGGAAAGTAGCCCAGGAACAACAGAAATTGTGCAAATCGTTCAGGGGAAAAGCATTAATCCTCCATTCGTCCCCCAATCATGGTCCCAGTTTGGATCCAGGAAGGGGGCAGTCAGTTTTAAAACAGTGGGAGACCCAGTCACAGATTCTTTCTTGAAAGTGCAAAACTGCTGACTCTGGGGCTTACAAGAGTAGGCACTGCTCCCTAGTCCATTGCCTCAGCAGTCCAAAACTACAGCAATTCACTGCAGGAAGGGGTATATTTTTATCTCACCCACCCTGTGCTAAACAGGACACATCCATTAATCATATTTGCACCCTGTCCCAGGATACTTATGGTATTAGGGGCTCTTTCCCCTTCTCCGCTTAAGAAATCCTGTGTGTATATAATCAATTAGAATCAAAGGAAGCATCCCATTCTAACTCAATACCCTTTTCCTCTGGGATATCATACTTGATCCAGGTTCAAGCAGGCCAATTTCTACCCCACCACACATTTTTTATTTTTTCAGCTGCTCTCACAGTTCCATGAGCATGCTCAATTTTCACACGGGAATGTTTTAAAAAAATTATGAACTATTTCTTCATATCAAGGGAGATCCTTAGATATGTCAAAACACCTGTCTTGTACGTGGGTGTCCTTTTTTGTTTTTGTTTTTTATAATTAGCATGGGCTATTTTTCCCGTTAGAGATATTAATAATGATTAATTGTAAAAATGATTTATTGTACCATTCCCCAACATGTGTCAATTGGTTTTCTAATTTTCGTGTTATTTTGTGTTTGATTGTTTTATGCTGTGACAAGGTTTGGCTTAGCAATAAATATAGCTGTGGCTGATATGTTAGAATTCTCCAAATCTTAAAAGCACTATTATTTCCTAAATTTCATGGATAGTCCATAAGTAGGTAGCATGGAATATCATAGGATTAGTCATTAGAGACAGGGGCTCCCCCAAGCTTCTTCTCTGCTCTTGCTTAAATAACCAATGCCACTGTAAATACCAGAGCATAAGAAGAGACTGCACAGCAGTTTATGTGGGCAAGTCTAAAACTCCTCGTGTTTTTTTTTAAACAATAGATACTTTCAAAAGTGAGAGGAAGAACAACATGTTAAGCAGGGTGTTGGAGAAATTAGCATTAGTTGGACTCTGATTATTTCACAATAGAGAGCAGTAACGAACGGGCAAAAGCCCACAGAGTTCACCTCCATGGGAAGGTTTTGTGGGAAAGGAACAACTTTTATCATTGGGAAGGTGATATTGTGGGTGGACACCAGTGTTCCCTCTAAGCTGAGCTAGTGTGAGCTAGCTCACAGTTTTTTAGCCTCTGGCTCACACATTTTTGTCTTAGCTCAGGAAGGAGGGCTCCAGAACAAACTAATTTATGCAGCAGCCAAATCGCTCGCTCACAACTTTAATGCCCATAGCTCACAAAGTAAAATTTTTGCTCACAAGATTCCACAGCTTAGAGGGAACATTGGGCCTGGACACGCACAACTTCATAGCAGTACAGAGTATGACACAGGCTGGGGTTTCACAGGTATCAGCTTGACTGTAGCAGCTTGGTGGGGGGGGAAGGGACATACATACTCCAGATACAACTTTTGGTAAGAAATAATTCATATTTCTGTAGTGTCTGTAGTGTCCAATGAAACAATTAGGCAATGTAAAATAAGGTTCAAGATTATAAAAGCCCTTTAGTTATTATTATTATTACAAGCAGAATCACTCTATGCAAATATCTGGAATTATACTTAAGTAGCACACCCAGAAGGAAAACTGGGGGTGGAACAGCACACATATTGGCAGCAATTCAAAAAGCTTTATACCCAATCCCCAGACAGCTTTCTAAACTCAGTGGAGGTCCACAGGGGTACTTGCTGAAGAAAAGCAATGATGAACATGTATCTCTCTGGATGCAGGATCTATTTTGTACAATGTCTCTCTCAAGTTTATACCATACTGGTGTATTGACATTTTGGGAAATATGTTTGTTTAAAGCAGCTATTTGATAGGAGGATGCATTCTGGTGCTGTGTGAACACTCGTGGGATGTGTTGTTAAATATTTCTGTTTTTAAAATACCAGAACTTACCCTATGGCTGAACAACCTGAAAGCATAAATACCAGTTCTACAAACTGATGTTCTCCCATTCTCTTTGGTGAATGGTGGAGAACTCAGCACAATACAGGGAAAAGTTCAAAAGGCATCAGGAGAGCATTCAGATAAGACTGAAGCACCTACCTCAGCAGGTGACAAGGCCAGTGTGGCTGCACAGGACAGACAGGACCGCATGGGGAAGAGAAAAAAATGACAGTTATAGAAATTGCAAGTTGTGGCAATGAATGGTAAAAGGTGCTAAAATGAATCATGCAGTCACTCATTCAACACAACATATTGCAGTGTGAGGGATGTCAAAGTGTATCCCCCATTCCCTGTAGTTAGCCCCTTTAAGGAAAATGATAAGCTTCTAGTATTGCTCCCCCCCCCCTTTAATGAGATAACAACATTGGCAGCTTTGTATCAGCTTCCATTAGCTAAACCATGTGGGGAAGGTAGAGTTTAAACTACTCTTCCCTAAACTACTCTTCTACATCAGTAGTTTTGCTTTTAAATAATGCTGGGAAACATCACAGATCTTCCACCATCTTGTCTTTTGCCTGCTTGGCCCAATTTCTTACCTATCCCTTTACAAACTATGAATAATCTCCCTGAGATAACAATTTTTGGGTATGCGAAAGACTCCAATGCACACATAGGTTTCCAGACAACAAAATAAAACAGCTCCGTACACACAAAGGGATGAACACCCGAAGGGCCTTTACCAGAGGTCATTTCGGGGGGGATCGCGGGGGATCGCAGTTCCCCAGGGTGAGGTATGGGGGGCGGGGCACATAATGAAGCCCCGCCCCCTGCTTCCGGCCGCCCCGCTTCCAGCCCTCATTCAGCCAGGAGGAGGCAGGAGAAGAGGGAGGGTAAGTTGCTTCCTCCCCGCCTCTCCCCACCCCTGCCTGCCTGGGGCCAGGGAGGGCCTTGGCGGGGCTTCCTCGCACTCCCGCCGGCCTTGCAGGTCCACCGCCGGGCCCCTGATGTCAGGGGGTGTGGCATATGCTAATGAGTTATGCTAATGAGTTCCCCTAGCTCTTTTTCTACGAAACGACCCCTGGCCTTTACTGAAGGGAATTCTGCTTGCGCAAGAGCTCCGCAATGGAATGGCAAATCATGGTATGGAGTTGCAGGAATGAGACTTGAAAATTCTCACGCCTTTCAAGCTTCTTTCGCAGAAAATGATGCAAAGCAATAAGGATATACAATGGGTAATACATTTTAAAACAATGGAAGCCAAAACAAATTATCACAATTTCTTTAATTATGGGTTTTTTGAAGGAAAACTCATGGGGAAAACCAATGTGAATAATAAATTGCGAAAATCACCACAGTCAAAAAAATGGACAGCCTCAGTACAACTCATACGAGTGCATGCCCTCATAAGATGAATCACTGTGCTGTCTCGGTCTCTCCAGAGCGGAGGAGGGGGACTATGATGTGAAAACGGATGGGCCATAATGTAGTTGCTGCTGTACTCTAGCCCTGTGAAGATAGTAATGGGTGGGATTTAAATCCTCAGTTTCTCAACTATTATCTAAACAAGCAGGTGGATCCTAGATGAAGATTATTTCCCTGAACACGTAATAGGAGATCTGCAGAAATTTTGTGTTATGCCTGGTTCTCTAAGGCAACATGTCACCAAAGTTAAATTC